TTGGTGTTTTCTTTGTTGTTGGGTGAATAAACTATCAATGAATTGATTTTCAGGAATAAATATATATTATTTGCTAATCTGTTAAAAATTTTAAAATAGAAAATTAGGACTAAAACAAATAAATGCGAATATTTACAAATCAAAATGGAGTTAAAAAAGATAAATTTAAGTCTTTTATTAATGTGCAAATATATGAAATAAGATAGTCTAGTAAAATCGGGCTTGAAAAAGATGAATATATAAAGTATTTATTAAATGAAAAATGAAATTTGAATCAAAAGGGTATAACACATTTTATTGTTCATTTTATATTAATTTACAATAAAGATTTGGCGTCCTTTTAACTAATACATTATATAGTTTTATTAAGTACTTTATAGTTATTATAATTTCAATTCTTAATCTGGTAAGATTCAATAATTCAAATTAAATACGGTGTAGCATTTCACAAAGAGTAGTAGCTATTGCTTTTTAGAATCAAGCTAATAGTCTATATAAAACAGATTATATCTTTGTAAAGAGCTTTTGTTAGCACTTTTTTGTCTTTAGAACTGATACGTATTATTATTCCAATACTATAGATAAAAATCCGTCTTGTTGTTTTAGTATGATTTATTGAAAATTATTTTCTTACCCAATATTACGCAAGATGACAAATTGCTAACAATATATACCAATAGCGAATTAAACACTAAATGATGTTGGGTAAGTGGCCTGTAAGAGAAATAACTTTTAAGAAATTGAGTGATGACTTTTAATTAATAAATTTAATAGCGATAGATATTAAAATGCGTAGTAGATCTAGGATTATAATAATATTAATTTATACTTATAGGATGTATAATACAGTAATATAAAAAAGTTTTTTTATATATATTTATCAATCTATATATGATTTTTGTTAAAATGTACTCTAGTAAATGAAATATAATTTTTTATTGTTTGAATATCGCGTTATCAGTTAAAAATCTAAATTTTGCATTTCCTGCATAACAATTATGACCTGCTATATCATGAAGTTCTTTCATAGTCCATTCAATAAACAATTCAGCCTGAGAATTACAATTAATTTCATTTAATCTAACCCAACTAAGTTGACCATTACCATAATCTCGTTCTCTCCACATAGCATCATTAAAAATATTTGTTAATATATCATAGGAATTATTTCCACTAAAATGACATTGATAAAAATTACCACATGGTGAATATCGTGTAAGATATTTACCAAATATTCCTACAAAAGCATTTTCATTACAATGTAGAGAAAAAACCTGACTTCCAACATTTTGATGATGCTTTTTTAGACACTTCTGAATTTCCCGTACCATAACCTTTTTAATATGATTAAGCTCATAGTTAGATCTTGGTAATATATGAGAAGGTAGTATATTGTGTTTTTTATGTTTTGTTGTTTCATGACGTTGAAGACCACATTGAGTTTTATAAGATCGTGAACACGTACAAAGAGAACAGGTAAATCTTGAAATACTTATAGAATCAGACATAACTAAATATTTTAAATAGTTAATAAATAAAATAACATTTATAAAAAGTAAATTCTTATATACTATATACCTGGTAGTCAAAAAGTTGATGGTTGAGACTTCGAACGATGGGTTCCGGGAATGTTTACGTGTTTTTTAATAATAAGTAATTCTATTTGAGGTACCGTCTAAATAATTTTTGTGTTCACATGATCATAAAATGGGGTGCAATTTTAAAATATGTTAATAATTTTTGGGGTACTATAGTATGATTTTAGAACTCTAAAAACTAAACACGCCAATATGTTTGATCTTTGTTTTGACTTTCACTTGGTCTTCGCTTTAACTTCGGTTTGATTTTTACTTTGATTTTCGCTTTGACT